GTATGACAAATAAGAGGTGTGACAAATAAGAGGATGTGACAAATAAGAGGGTATGACAAATAAGAGGGTGTGACAACTAAGGTGTAACCCAGTGTCACGATAATTGGATCGGCAGGATCAACGGAAAGTGAAATTTGTGTAAATTTAATAAAACCAAAAAAAGATAAGTTTGGTTTTTGTATAAAAATAGATATAACAAGAGGCTAATTGATTAATAATATTGATTAGTAATAGGGATCTGCAGTTTTGGGCATCCTAGAGGGGCAGAATCCCCCAAAAAAGAGAAAAATTTTAGACAAATTTTAAAGTATAGTTTTTGTAGTGGAGTTAAAAGTAATTTAGCTATAAGATTTGTAATTTCAATCTGTTTAAGAAGTATTATATATCATAATGAAGCTCTTGTTGAGCTTAACCTTTTTCTATTAAGGAACAATATAGGTTTACTTAATAAAATTTTAAGAAAACGAAGAAAAAGTCAAAATTTAGAAATACAGTTATAGCTCTAAAGCAAAATGCTTTGGAGCTATAAGACTAGGCCATCTATAAGTAAAATTAAGTGTAGAACAACTTTACTTAGACAGCCAAAAGTAGTTTAATTAATAAATTTTTTTGTAAATTGCAAATGTTTTCAAGAAAGATTTGGTACAAGTGATCGTCAGGAAGAGTTAGTGATTTGCGTTTCATTTTATGATATTTGCAATTTACTATACGTTATAAATAATATAAATTTAATATGTATATTATACATTGTAAATAATATAAATTTTACATGTACTAAATTAATTGTTATAGTTGTTTATTATAACAAGACTTGTTTTAATTGTATAGCTGCGCAAAAGTATTTTTTAGAAAGAAATTTTTTTTTAATTGTCTAGTTTGCGAATGGTTTTTTGGGTGATTTTTTTTTAATTGTATAGGTGTGATAAGTATTATTTGGGAACAAGTTTTTAAATTGTCTGGTTACACAAAAGACTTTATTAGAATATTGCGCAAATGACTTATTTTGGTGAAAATTTTTTTTTAAATCATATGATAGCGTGAAGGACTTTTTGGATGGGAATTTTTTAAACTGTTTGATTGCGCGAATTTTGTCTGTTATATGAAAAGCTAGCCTTGATATGTTTTTTTTTAATAAATTACTTGACACACAAACATTATAAATTCTTTGAATAAAGCAGTTAACAGCTTCAAATAAATTTATTATTCATTATGCCTACATATCTAATTATAATTAAATGTACAATTATTATAGTGATTATGAACAATTGTAACTTTCTTTTTATGACGAAGCAATTGTTTGTTCTCATCAGAAATTGGTGATCTTTTGCGAGACTTATTTTTTAAAACTTCTTTTGCCATATGAAATATTCCATAAAATTCATGTTCGTTCTGTAATTTTATTTGTTAATTTAAAATCAATGCTTAACAAATTTAAAATTGTTTATAATTTTAAATTATTTATTACCTGTACTGAATTATTTAAATCTGAATTTTCGTCATCTTCAAATCTAGTGCTTAATGAGTTTTCATTACTATCGGGTTCAGGATTATCGAGTTCAGAATTATTAGGTTCAGAGTTGTTGGATTCAGAATTATTGGGTTCAGAGTTAGTATATTTAATTGAATCTTGCATTAGTTCGTTAGATGGTGTATCAATAATTTGTTTATTAAGAACATTCATTAATGCTTCTCTTTTATGTTTGTCTGTAGGTTTGGCATAAGCATAGTATCCACCAGAAGATTTATGTCCACTAATTGTACAACCAGTATTTTCAGAAACTCCAACGTTAAATAATTCCATAATACTTGTCCTTTGGCCAGAATAATTACTAATATTTCTTGATTCGATATTAATTTCACATTCGATGCAAATCATTTTAAACATTGAACGGATTGTATGATCAGGAATTGGTTTGTCTAAATACCATTTTCCTTTTACAATAGCTTAAATTTAAATTATTAAAAAAATTAATTAAATAACTTATATGAAAATAATATAACGAATAAATAATTAGTGTTATGCTTACCATCTGGGCTATGACAAGCAGAAAGATAAAAATTTGAACTTTTAAAATTTTTAGGCCATAAAGAAAGATACTTTCTTATATCAGAATTCGGCCCTGTAATGCCTTCTGGGTCAGGTGGAAAAGGTATAATTAAGTCAAATTGATTTCCTTTTATATCTCCCTGGTCATTTTTTTGTTGAGCTTTTTTTAATATAATACCATCGGATGTATCTACAATTTGTGATATATGCAAGTTGGCGTGTTCACCACCTCTTGCAGCACCCAATATAGAAATCCAGAAAAAACTCCATTTTAATAATCCTAAAGGAGTATTTGGATCCTGAATTTCATGATTCAATATATGCCGAATCTCTTTAGTAATTAATCCATCTATAGATTTGGATTTGCCAAGTTCTTTTTTTTTCATATCTTTTAGTAAACCATCAAATCGGGCATATAGGTCAGAAAAGTCATTCTTATCATGTAAGTTGTATCGCCAACCAGGTTTGACATTTTGAAGATGCCGATTAATTGCTGATAAAGCATTCTTTAATGATGTTCGTGAATAAGGTTGATCTTGTTTAGTTGTTATGCCACATAAAAATTGAGAAACTTGAAGTTCAATCGTTTCCTTGTCTTGATTTTTTAGTAGTTCGTTATAATTAACATCTGACCGCCACTGGTTCATAATATTAATCCATCCTTCTGTATTTTTAGCAGTATTTTTTGGGACACGTCCTTTAGCAAGTGCAGCAAGTTGGTCATTAGAAGGTAGGTAATTAGAACGTTTACTCATATTAGAATGGTTACTCATATTTAAGAAAGAGCGAATATAAAAAAAAAGCTACATTTATTTATATTTTTACAATTGATAAATGATGCGATTTGTGATCTGTTAAATTTTAGTACTACGTATATTAAATTAATTTTAATACTTTTAATAGTAATTTAATTTGCCGGATAAAACAGTTATAAGGCACAAGTGCTTCATAACTTCAGTACAATTCGCATTTTTACGAGTGTCTTGAGTCTCGATGCTGGCAAGGTGCTATTGCGCCTTGCCAGCATTCGAGACTCAAGACACTCGTAAAAATGCGAATTGTACCTTACCGATATTTGCGCATGTGATCTGCTTGTCCGAATTTTGCGCACTTTCGGTGCTTAAAATCGACCAATCAAATCACATTCTGCAAATACCTCAGTTATGAGGCACGAAGTGCCGAATAACTATTAATTATCTCACTAATATATAGTTATATGACTATTAGTCATAGACTATAACTAGAGTATATAATATAATCAAAAATTTTTGTATACTATATAGTCTATATACTAGAGTAATATACAACTAAACTATATAATAAAACACTCAATTCAAATTAATTAGTAATATATATATAGTTTTGTATTTTTTAAAATATTTTAAACCTTTATTTTAAATTTTTTTCAAACTTTAATTGTTTATTTAAAATATTTTAAAACTTTAATAAATAATATATTTATTAACTGAGTTATTAATAGCATGTCTACTATTGTTAGATAAACTATTTTTGACAAATTGAAAATATAAAATTAATTTTATTTATAGTTTCAATAATAATTGAAACAAGATAATAACTAATTTTTACTTGTAGTAATATCACCCATATTATAAAATTTTTATTAAAAATTAAATAACCTTAAGGTTAGGGTTAGAGTTAACTTTAGGTTAGAGTAAGGGGTATTGTTTATATATAAAATTTGATATTGAAAACTTTTGCTTAGAAGTTGAAACATAGTTTTCATAATAAAAGTTTGAGTTATTGTTTTTTTTTTATTTTTTTACTTTGTTTTAGTTATACAAGATCCAGCAATCTGATTGGTTTTACATATATAACTAGGTGATATCACTTCAGAAGCAAGTTAGCAATAGTCTTGAATCAAATATTCAAATAATTGTTGAATCAAATTGAATATTTTGTTAATTTAAATTTGATTTAATTTGAAATTTCTGTATTTGAATTTAATTTGATATCAAATATTTGATCAAATCAAATCAAATCAAATTGAATTGCAGAACTCTAATTGTAATTAAACCAAGTTTAGAATTAAAGTTAAAATTAGTAAAATTTTTTAAAATAAATTATTAATAAAATAATTTGAATATTAGTAAAACAAGAAGTTAGTAAATTAATAATATAAATAATATATGATATCAAATATATAAAAAGATTAATAGTTAGACTATATAAACTTAATAAATTAGTTCTTATAATCTAGCTGGGTTATATTTCGCAAAATTCTTAAAAATTTTTTTAACTATATTTACTATTTGAGTAAAGTTTTTTAGAAGTTTATTTTATTTTATTTTTTTTTGGTATTAAGGTTACCCTTCGGTCAAGTACTTTTATTATTGTATAGACTATTTTTACAACTAGATGATCTATATCTGTCGTACATATATTTCTATATACATAATCTCACTACAATACTATTTTAAATAACTACCTTAGAACAATTTTATTCTCGGGGTAAACCTACTAGAGCCTACCATTATTCCACTATTAATGGCTAACCTAGTTTTTAATACCCTTATAAGGTTCACATAGCCACCACAACCGAAACGGTCCATAAGCCGTACTAGGCTTCTGCTATCTCCTTATTCGGGTCTTGCCAAGCGGGTTTCCGTCTTCATTGGTTCTATAGAT